ATAAGTATACAATTAGGAAAAAAGTAGCGCACAATGAGTTCAAAAACTTGCAAACAATTAATTATCAAGCTTTAATTTGAAATGCAAACTTTTTCCTATCAAAAATTTGTAACGAATTCTTTTTTTTTCAAGCTCCTTGTAATTAAACCCTATCTACTATCACTCAAGCACTACTTACATGCATGAATTTTTATCAATTTGCCGCAATGAAAGAATTGGCCAAAATCATTTGTGGCCAGATAACTTTACTGAACAATACTAGGATCATTTTAGATGTTTTATTTCAGTATCGTATTTGTATGTCATGTATTTGTAACAGTCCCTAATGAATGACATTATCTGTCTAAAATAATACCTTCTTTTCTTTTTTGTCTTCTTTAATGCTTACGTAGTCTGAATAGGCCATTTGATTGAATCCTTATTAGAAGAAAGCCAAGAACATTGCATCTGTGAAGTGGGATTATATGGAGATGATTGTCTTTCCAAGGATCATTTCAGCTGAAAATTATAAGAAAACAGGCGACATTTGAGCACGACAGGATTTTTATCCCATCAATAAATCAGTAAAACTTTTTCTTTCATTTGCATCTCTAAGAACTATTGAGGAAGTATAAAAGCTTACAAAAAAAATATGAATATAACATAAAATATTCAGTTGTTTGCAAAATTCGTTTATTTATTTTCAATTTTAAAACGTGCGATTACTAACAATTAATTCTTTCAATTAATAATCTTTTAATTAAATATCAAATTAATAATGATATACTGACAATGATCTTCTATCGGCTTAAAAAATATATGTTTTGTGAAAAGCTTTTGAAGAATTTTTCTCATTGTCAATTAGTTTAATAGTTGACTTTTTATTGTTGATTTTATTTACTGCTTAAATAAATTCAATTTAATGTCACTACCTAACACAATTCTAGTCCAAGCTATAAATAGCTGTCCTTGATCGGAATAATTCATTTGGCTCAAGCTTATTTACTAATTGATTTATTCGACAAACTTCTGTTTCTGCTTATTACCCATAATTTAACATTTTTTAAAGCAAAAAATTTCATCCTCAACTTTTACAAATTAGTAAATTATTGTAAATATGCTGAATAAGCTCAAAACTTTTGCCAATTTAAATTAAATTTTTCCCATTTTTCTTTTTTGCTAATTTTAGTTAAAATTCAACAATTTTACTCAAATTAGATTAAATTTGCATTAAGTATTTCCTTCATTTTTAATAAAAGTTTTAAACTGAAGCTAATTAATTCATTTCTTACAAGTATCTTCAAAAATGAAAGCATAGTGGATTCACCTGTTTTTGCTGATCTCAACCATATCATATAAATGATGACATCCTTTTTACCTGTCATTTTTCTCCAAATAGGACTTATCCATAGTTATGTTTTGCAAAGTGTATGATAATTACCGATAAGTTCTATACTTTTTTTCTCTCAAAAAATAACAAGTTTCACACAATTTCCAGTTCTTTTTTTTTTAGGTCATCTTTTTTTTTTATTAGGCATCTTTTTTTAGTAGGCATCTTTTTTTTTTATTTTAGCTGATCTTATCATTAGCAAAAAAAAGGAAAAATCTCTGGACCTCTTGTCATAACATAATTCGATTCTTTTGTATTCGCATTGTCGCATGACTATGTCATCGAAGGTAAATTATGCTATAGATTCATTGTCATCTTCAATCCCTTTTTTTTTATAATTTTAAGATTCATCAGATTATTTCCAGTATGATATTTGACAATTTTTTATTTCATTTAACAAAAAGGTTATATGAATTATTCATTAATAAATTCATTTATCGACGATCTAATTTTGATATGGCATTGCTGTTTTATAGAGTTATTCAAAATCTCAACGAATGTTGATGAACTTTTGTCGTGTACTTTGTCAACTGAACAGTTTATACATCAAAAATAAGTTTGTTTCATCTTGTCGTCGTAATATACAAATATCACATATCCTCAAATCTGTTACAACATTTGACACCTAAACGTTCGTCTTCAATCTCGTGCTATAAAAGTTAGAAGACCGCATACATTCCCCATTTTAAATTTATAACAAATACTAGTAAATATTACATAAATTTCAAGTTAAGTAGTAAATCTTAGTTAACGTGATATGAATTTCAGGTTAAGCTATATATAAGCATAATCAAATACTTAACAATATCAAGATACAAGAAAAAGGTAACATTTTTATCACCAAAAAAATAAGTGCTTGAAAAAAACAACTTAGTTTTTGATTTAAATGCGAAAAAAAGTGAGGTGATAAATTCTTAATTATTATACTACTTATATTGTCCTTAATTATTATACTACTTATATTGTCCTTATCAATATCAAAGAATCAAATATTGATAATTTGACAAATTGTGCAACTTGCCAGTGTAACAATTTCGAGAAATTATTCATTTAATGATATCATATCATTCAAATTATTAATAATACATATAATAGCACAATAATCCATAATAATCATAGTAAATGTATGAAACGAACCGGTAACATTATGATAAAAAGAAAAAATGCTGTCCGGAAAATTATCGTATCCGTAAATTGAGCAAATGATAAATACATCAGATAACATTGGAAGATATAGGAAATGGAGGAGTGGAAAAGGGAAAGAAATCAAAGTTGTGTACAAAACCTTTAGTAATTTAAATTTTCCCTTTTAAACTTTAAAAACTTCGAAAAAAAATTGATGGACTTGAAAATGAATTATGAATTACTCATATAATTAAATATACAAAAATGGCACTATAATATGCATAAATTGAATAAATCTGATATTTTGCATTGAAAATTATCGAATAAATGTAAAAGTTTTGGTAATATTTGAAGAGAATATGAAAAGGACAAGCTTTAAGAAGTTTGAGCAAAATTTTTACAATTTTAGCAAATTAATTGATCAAATGAATACGCATATGATGATAATGCACAATTATCCATCCACTTATCAACTACCATATTTGCATCAGAATTAAGATATTTTATCGTCATATACCGGATTTCTTTTCTTTTTTTTTAAGCAATAGCTATATTTAGGTATTGTTTTTCGCACAGCAGAATTACGAAAGTAAAGTTAATCGAAGGGGATAAATGTAAAATATGACGACAAAATAAGTTAAGTAATTTAAGGTGACAAAACTGCAACAGATGATAACTTTTAGTAAACGTTTAAAGGTAACAAATCCACGAGAGACATTATGTAATGTCTAATAGACGTTACGTAATTTGTCATGTAATGTTTACACATCGTAAAAGGAAAATAACTGATTACGAAAAAAAAAACGGAAAACAAAAATGTAGACTAGACCATTTCTAGCTCAAGACAATTTCTCAGTTATATTTTAATTTCCAAAGAAGTGTTTTCATAAATTCATGATAAAATTGGGAAGAAAAAAAAGAAAAGAATGAAGGAAATATCAAATGATAACAAACATTGAAACGAAAATATTATGATAAAAATGATATTTTATCAGAATGGAAGGGAGGAAAAGTTTTTCGGCTAAAAAAAGGAAATATAACAATTACTTATTAAAGATGAACAAAGAAAAAAAATGATGGAAAGATTATTAATATTTCTTATTTTAGCTAATAATCTTTTCTAATTTCTTTAATTTTCATTTCTATTTTTCACAAGAAATAAAAAAAAAAATTCCGTTTTAATTTCCGTTTTAATCATATTTTCCGTTTTAATCATATTTTTTGTCAAATTCGCTGAATTTTAATAATTTAAATTGAAATAATCAATGACAATGAATTGGATTGAAACAAATAATTCATAAATTCATGGATGGTGCTATATAATAGTCATCATTTTCGAGATATGTCGTACATTGTGATGATTGCGTTGTCCAAGTTGACAAATATGTTGGAGAATTGATATCGAGAACATTTGTTGATTGAAGTTGTGTTGGTGATGATGGATTACTAAAACACTTTTTTGTTTAAATTTATTAAAACACATTGTCAAAATGAATAAATTAAATTTAATCATAAAAAACAACAATTAATATAGAATTTGAATTTTTTTGTTCATACTAAAACATTTTGTAACTTATCAAAATTTTATTGTTTTCTTTCAAAAACTACAATTTATTTTTCCTAGTGATAGGAAAATATTCCGTGCTTTTTCTTATTTTTATTTTTTAGAAAAAGAAATTTTGTTTTTTATTCTCGATGTAAAAATGACATTAAAAGATAATTAAAGAAAATTTCATATATATACATATACTTTAAAAAATTGCTGTCACTTCTTTATTATTAAAAAAAAATTCAGGTAGGATGGTCTACAATAGTAG